CAGGAAACAAGACACACCCCCAACAGCTCAACTTCCTGTGAGTAGCTGATGTTTTAACACATTTGAAGTGAAGCCCTTAATAAAATCCTGGTTCTGTTGAAGTTGATTTGACAGGTATCGTGGACTTGAATAAAACCAGAGAGACACCCCTATTATTCCAAAAACAGAGCTACCTTCTCTTTGACCTTCAAGGTCTACCTGAGATAAGCCAGCAGCAATGAGGTTGTATTGAAGATGTATCGCTCATGATGTTCTTTAAACAAGCACAGCAGTGCACGTGGAAAAGGCTGTCAGCAGGCTGGTTATCACCACTTGTCACTGCCACAGAGGTTTTGCATTGCTGTTTAGTCACGGAGTCAGTTAACTGCTGCTGAAAGATGAAGGGTTGGATATAAATGATGTAAATGTTCACGAATAGATGCATTGTACCGTGATACTGTCTGCCACTCAAATTCACAGAGTGTAGAAAATGTTATTCCTTGCTAGAGGAGCTTGGTTCCAGCAGTTCGAGGGGATTTCTCATTGTTAAATGCTAATGAATCCTAACAGACAAGATGAAGTGCGAAGATTTTAACTGAGGAGAAAATAGCAAACATGGGCAGGGATGAACTTTGAGAGAGGACAATCACACTACAGGCAAAGGAGATCTGCAAAGCCATAGAATTGAAGGCAGAATTCCCTTAGGCTTTAATGTAACCAGGGTTTCACTCTTGATACCTAACCTGGACACTGGCTCCTTCCATGTTTTCACACATATTCTCTCCTCCCTTGCCTCACCTTTCAGCAGTGGTATTTGCACATCTTTGAAACAGAACAGTACAGCTGCTTCCATTCCACGGGTGAAGGATTTGGCTTCTCATGAAACCACAAGCAATGCCATAAAATAGGGGGTTTGTAATGTGAAAAAGCAAATAAACAGTAAGTCAGTGATCTGAGTCAGACTATCACCTCAGCAGGGACAGTAACTGCACCTGTTTTAGCATCCATGTGGTAGCAAAGCACTTAGTTTGGATGTATTTCATGCAGGACATCACAGTGGTTGATTAGCATCTATCACCACCTCTCTCCATCAGTCTTTCTGCATTTTTAACAGTATCACACAGACAAATAAAGTTTTAGGACAAGAAACGAAAAACATTAGCTAGTGTGTTTCTTTGCAACCAGAATGGCAGAAAGACTTCATCTTCCAAAAGGGATTTTCTTCATAATTCAGACATTCAAAGGGTGTCTTTAGGCTGAAAGGATATTGTTTCCCTTCTCAGACTGTTGGAAAGGTTTCTTTCCTTTAGCTTTACTTTTAAACAAAGGAATTCAGGACCATAATTTTTAAATTATGTGTTCATACAACAGAGGCCATTTGTTCTGTTTTATTAAAGAAGCATGTAGCACTTACCCTTTTCCACAGTATTTCTTGTGGACCAAAAGAATCAGAAGACAATTTTGGAAAGCTGGAAGTGCTTTGCAGCTGGAGGGGTGTAAACTAAGAACTTCTGATAATTCTGCCCCAAATTCCACTTGCTGAAAGAAGATCTTTTTGTAGAAAAACTTTTAAATCAACTTTTCTTTTCTTTGTTGTCTATACACATCTCTACCAAGCAGTTTTGGCTTGATAAATTGCCTTGACATGGTTTGTTAAATTGACTTTAACTGTTTTGATCAAGACTTGGCTTAGGTGTAGAATCTAGCCCATTTCCTGTTAAAATATCAGCCTTACAGAATTTATAAAAATTGTCTTTATTCAGTAATTATATTACATCCCGTTTTTATAGGGAATTTATCTTTTCAATTCTAAAGCATTTTATCTGCTGAGTCATCATTGCAGAATTGGCCAAAGCTGAACAGATTTCCTCCACTGGCATGAATGATGGTATAAGAATCGGACAAGGAATGGCAATGGACAGGTGGGAATATTCTTGTATTCCTGCTCTTGAATATTATCACTAATCTCCAGCTTTTGACTCATGGGTCCTCGTGTCCTCCCACAAAAAGAAAAAATAAACACAGGTTCACTACTTTTTACTTTAATCATTATTTCCAAACTATTTAGAATATATGTAAGAAACAGAGAAAATGCTCTCAATTCTCTTTATTTTTGTTATTTAAAACAAACAAACAAACCAGAAACTACTGAGGAAAATAGTCCTTTGTATGTCAGAGAATGCCAGCAAGTTTAAAGGCAGAGAAAAGGAACATTAGATTTCATAAATGGTTCCTGTAAACATACCTTTCCCATCCCAGTGATTGTAATTTGATTTTTCCTGTTGACTGTCTCGTCGTTGTTGTGAGAGGAGTATGAGGTGCCTAATGCAATCATAACTTGCCATCTCGTGGCTTATTTGGGAATTACCACAGTTAAATTTCTTAACAATCATTTAAGATTACATTCATTCCTTTAGGAGAGGATTCCTGTTTGCCCCTTCATCACCCCTGACATGGAAAGACCGGATACCTTCAGTAAGGGTTGAGATCCTGGAGGGTCCCAAGGCTGGACCAAGCTGGAGGAGCAGATAATGGGCTGCCCACGTGGACATGGAGAAGGAATACAAGGAGGTGTTAGAAGATCCCAGACCACAAAAACAGCCATTAGACCAAAAGGAGGGAGGGCACATGAAGAGTGTGAGACGATCAGGTGCATGGACTGTTACTCTGGAGATGGCTCTGGCTGGCCTGACATACAGCAGGAGTCACCAAGCTGCCCCCCAGCCTGCAGAGAGCCATCCCAGCAGGGAGCTGGGCCAGCAGCTGGCACTGCCCAGGCAGGGAACGCCGGGACACCTGTCAGGCATGGGGTGAACACAGGCCATGTATCCCTGGAGACGGCTGAGGAGGCAGCTGAACTCTGCCACTAATGTCACTGTCATCCTCTCCAGGCCTCCTGCACAGTTCACCCTGTGCACGACAGCACGGATAATTCTGTTGGAGACAATTATTCTGTGGGTTTAGTACTGTGGCAGAAAGAGGTGTTTTATGCCTGACACTGTGCCCTCTCCCAGTGTGTTTTTAGCATGATCATTACACGTCTGACTGCTTACAAATTCAGTGAAAAGCCTGTTTTGTCTTCTGCTGCGTGCAAAGTCACCCAGCCCTGCAGGGGAATCAAACTAGGAAAAAAGTGTAGTTTTTATCACTTAAGCCCTCAATTTTAATTTAAGGAGTGCTTACAAAATTGTAAGGTACAGATTGTTGAAAAATATCTCTTCAGAGAATAGAATCAGGGTGTGCTCTGAACAGCTGAACCCTCAGCTGTTCTTTGAGGACTGAACTGCTCCAGCCCTTTACAACCTGGTTGAACAAGTGCTCAGGTTTTCCAAACGAGTCTACAAACTTTTGGCCATATTTATAGTCAAGAGGCAACTGCAATCAGGGATACTGCCATTTGTGACTGTGTTTCTTGTCATCTTCCATGACACACAGATTGTTTGCATGCAGGGGGGAGATCTCCTCCAGAGTTCATTAACCTGGCAGTCGGGCTGCCTTTGTTTTGTTTTGAGCACACTTGGAGCCAGGACAACTCTGATAATTTTGCCAATAATGTTCAAAGCAAAAGAGATCACAGCGAAGATTTTAGTAAATATGTATTGAACACCTAACAGTGCTTTGGAGCCAGGTTTGCAAGCAGCAAAGTGCCTGCATGGCCAGACCAGTGCCCCAGTGGTGGCAGTGCCTGTTTGTGGGCACTGATGGGGACAACAGCTTCCCTCAAAGCACTAACCCATGCAGCTGCACATACTGTGCCCTGCAGTGTCACTCTTGAGAGGCTGAACTTGCACCAAAAGCCTGTTGAAGGAAGGGAAATAACTGCAGGTGACATTTGACAAGTTAGTTTTTATTCAGTGCACTGGACTCGTACATCACTGCTTTGTCAACTAACAACATTTCACACATTCCTGTAAAACCAATGCCAAGTCCAGTCTCTTGTTAAAGATGCTCGGTGTAAAATATAATGCAGTCTATCAAATATTTCCTTTCACAAGTACAGCTTAGAGCCCAGTAACAGGCTGTGTCCAGAGCTTTCAGTGCTGGGTTCCAGCAGTGGGTGGACAATGGATCAGTTACTCAGGGTTGGTGTAGGGCTCTGTTAACAAATGTCTAAACCCAGTTCATTAACATCTCAGAGTTCATCAGAGTGCTGCTGCTCGTTTGATTATGCCAGTGCTTTGAGCATGGGTGGAGCTGCAACTACAAAAACCCTAACGCAGAATGACTGCAGCGCTGGAAAACCTAAGGTAGGCTGGGGCAGTCTGTCTGTGCTCCATACTGAGGACAGTCACTCCAGCAGCAGGTACGGCACACCTCACCCCGTCCCCACAACTGGGCCAGCAGCAGCAGTCAGAGCAGCACAGCAACCCACAGAGAAACGCAAGGTGCTCAGGCCTGACTGTCAGGGCGAAGCGAGACGTTTTCAGGGTGGAGGGTCTTACACTGCAAACACTGGGCAGGGATGCCTGCAAGCACAACAAACTGGGCAGTTGGGTGGATGCTGGGGATTGCAGGCAGCTGGAGCATCCCCACTGGTGCCACTGCTGGGCCACATCCCTCAGATCCACACATGCTCTGCTCCCTGTCTCCCATGTGGGCAGGCACAGCATCCTCAACCCTGTCCCACCCGTGGGACAACACAGGGAAGGCTCCATGGCTATGGCCTGGAACTGGCACCCCCTCCCACTTGCAAGAGTCACCCGGGTCAGCACAGGGTGCCCTGGCAGGAGGACAGGGATGGTGCCAGCCCTACAGCTCCCCAGCAGAGCTCTCCCAGCAAATCCATCTCCGCTCATACACCTCCATCACCCCACTCATGTCCCACCTGCCCTGTGCTCCGGCCCCAACTCTCATCCTGCCTTGTCCCTGCCCTCCATCGCTCATTCACTGTGGGTGTAAGGAAGGAGACAGCACATTGCCAAATCAGCTATCTCAAAGGGAATCTAGCGACTTTTATTGAGCCCCCGCCAGGGCCTGGACTGTTGGGGGCAGTCCCTGTGACGAGCACGCTGTCCTAGGGCATGGTGACCGTCCGTCCGGCGCTCCTGGCTGCTGTAAAGCGCCTCTTATTCCTCAGACCAGAGAACCTCTCATCCAGCGTCAGGCTGGTCTGCAGGGGAAAGGGAGAGCGAGTCAGTCCCACGTCTGGTGGCAAAGCACAGCCCAACTTGTAGCGGGGTATTGATTAGAGCCCATCAGTCAGGATGGTGTTTCACAGCTGGTTAGTCAATTAAACCACGCAGCACACAGAGACAAGGAGCTCGACAGACTGTGTGCGGCTGGAAAACCTCCAAGCAGCTCCCAGCCCCAAGACACCGGGCGTCCTCGGCCAGAACAGGAGCAAGCAGATGGCATTGGAGCACAAGGCATCAGGGAAAACCAAACCGTCCAGACAAGAAACGCCGGCAATGAAGAAGGTGGAGCAGGATTTCTCAGCTGCCCCAGGGCTCTTGGACCATACTTCAGTGTGAAATGGGGCACCGAGAAGGTCACCAAAGCAAAGAGCGAGCAAAGCCCAGAAGTGCCACGTGTCTCTGAGGAATGGGGAGCACCGACACTGAAACAGTTCCCCCTGGCCAGGATCACCCACCAGCAGGATCTCCCCGCTCCGAGCAAGCACACGGACAGGCCTTGCAAGACAGGCCAACAGAATGGGAAAAATTGGGCTGAGTCTGTAGTTGCTCAACAGTCTTCTCAAGTGCCTTCAGTTTTGCCAACAACCTGGCCAACACGGCTACAGGACTCTCCTCCTGGGCCATGTTAGACAAACCCAGCTGGCAGCCCCAGAAACCTGAGCGTGGTGTTAACAGCTTAGTGGCAGGGCTGCTGCAGGGCGCCAGGTGCCGCCTGTGCCGTCGACAATCCTCTACCTGGTTGGCCATGGCACGGAAGTTGAATCTCAGCATCACCCCCTTGGGCTGGGGCTTGGTCACCCGTGCTGGGGGTCTCTGGCTTCGCAGGAACGGGCGCTTGGATCCAGGCCTGGGGAAAGCACAGATCCGCAGTCACTCGGGAAGTGAAGGCAGCTCGCTCCCTCTGCTCTGCAAACCAGCACGGAGTGAAGGAGACACCTGCACACCCCATACGTGGTCCCACGGCATGTCTGACCCCTGGCACAGTCAAAAGGCTGCCAGGAGAGCTGCTGTGCAGGCAGAGCTCCAGCACTGGGGACTGTGTCACATCCAGGCTATCGTGGGGTGCTCTCTGTGCTCAGGACAGTGCATTCACCCACCCTTCTCTCTGCCCTCAGCTGGGTGCTGGGTCCTGCAGCTGCACCAGCTCAGCCCTGAATCTGTTCCCTTCCAGCTTCTGTGCTCCTTTAACACAGCGTTTCCCTGACACCCCACAAGGAGCATAGCCAGCCTGACACCTCCCATGCGCTCCAGGGCTTCCATTTCTCCTCACTCTGCATAACAAAGGAGAGGCGTGGTAATTACAGATTACCGTGTAATTACAGGTAAATACAGGAGATCTTTATCTCCTTCAGATATGCCGGGAAGGGAACCAGACATCATTTGCTAACCATTTTAGGTTTGAACCATTATACACTCGTTATAGAAGTGAAGCTGCAATAAACCTAAGGGGAATTTGCAATGGCTTTTGTAGGGCTCCCACCCTAACAAATCACCTCATTTACTTACCCGCTGCTCTGGCCCGCCTGGGGATTAACCACAGAAACCGTCAGAATTGCTCCCGGGCTGGGTTTCACTTGCCACCTGCCGAGACAGGGAGATTTATCCAGCTTCAAGCCTGAAAGAGCACCGTCGCATTTGCATTGTGCCTTTGTTCACCAATTACCTTCTCATCCTTGGCGGTTTCCCTTCTCCTTGAGCATCCATCTGCTGTGAAATATATTTTTAAAAAAATTACTTAGAGAATTAGCTCTCAGAAACAATGACTTCTTTTCCAGGATTTCATTTGGTGTATCTGAAGAGCTCCTTCCTTGCAAGTTGTCAAGAAACTTGCTAATTTGGGGTTTCCTGCTGTCACAGTGATCTGTACGGGGTGGCTTTACTTTGCCCTGTTTGTGTTGCTCTATAAACCACAAGGTTTCTTTTTTATCACCCTCCCAGGATTTTACTTTCCAGCTGCCAGAATATTAATCTGCGTTAAAAATCGCCTGTCCTGCAAATACTTTCCTAGCAATACAGGCAATTTAAGCGATCCATCTCTCTTTACTTTTGGAAGCAAAGATACAGCTGGGCTGGTAGAACTGAAGGTTTGTCACTCCCAGCAGGCTGCAGAAGAAATGTCTGGATACTGACCCCTCTCTGGAAGCGGGCTTTGGAGAACCACTGCTGCGCCCGCTTCTGCTGGAACGCTGGTCCCCTGTTTAGCCGGAAAGGCCTGATGGTAAAGCAGAGACAAAAGGACAGAGGTGAAGATGATGCCAGGCCTCTCCTAAAGTTTAATGCCAAAATACCTAACCCAAGCCGGTCTTAAAAAGCAGCATAAGAAGCAAATCAGGCTGTGTGTTACCCAGTTCAGCCCAACGGGCTTTTCTGCCAGCGAAGGATTTCAGAGGAACTTGATTTTCTGCTCAAATGAGACAACAGCTTGTGTGTTCTGAACTCTGCCCATTAAAAATAAAATAAAAAAACATGGAAGAAAATAGTAGAAAAAAATCAGGTCAGAAGGGACCTCTGGATGTCCTTCAGTTCCTGCTCTGCTCAGAGCAGAGAAAGACAGGATTGCAAGGAGCTTCCTTTCCAGCTTGGAGAACACAAGGATCCTGATGAGACAGGCACCAAGGCAGTGCCTGCCTTCCTTGCAGCTCCTGGGCAGTCTGCTCCTGCAGCCCTTCAGTGGGACAGACGTCCTCTCTCTGCCTATCCCTTATGACTGGAATCTGTATTTCCTGCCTTTATGAAAATAAAAGCTATTTCACCCTTCAAAAGTGTTCCCCAAAGCGACAGAGGAAAAGTTCAATAAAAATACGAAGGTCTCATTTTCCGTGCTTCCTAAAATGAAATGACAGATCTGATATCTGCATTATTAGCCATGAACTGTTAACTTTTTTCACTGTTTTCTTTCCAGGTGCTTTCCAGGGGTATTTTTCTCATGCTGCACAAGCACATGGCTGTAGCCACTCCCAGCTCACACACACAGCAAGAGCAGAACCCTATGAGCTGCAGGGGGAATTGCTAAAAAGGAAACAAACCCAGTGTTACCAAAGATTTTTACCTTTTCCCTGGGGTCTGGGTGCTGGCAGCATCTGCTCTGAATCTCTTGGGGCCTGGAGATGGCTGTGCCTGGTCCTTCTGCTGCCCGCTGCTGCTTTTGGCAAAAGCATTGCTGTTCTTGTTGCCCTGAAAGATTGGTGAGAGCTCAGCAGTTGCCACCTGTGCCACAGTTTCTCTACATGAACAGGGAGTGAGGGCAAGTGACAGCCCCCAACTGTCCTCTCTCCACTGACTGCTGCTGCCTGACTCAGCACACTCAGTCTGTGTGCCTTGTTCCTGGGCATGAAAGTCCCAGGAAGAGTGTTTCCTTCTAATGGTGCAGAAATTAAAAAAAAAAAACACCAAAAAAAATCAGTCCATGGAGAGCAAATCTCACAGAAGCTGAGCATTAGAGCCGTGCTCACGTTTCCTTTTGGTCATCACCTCTTTCTTGTTTAGGCCAAGCCCTGAAGCATGAGGCACATCAGAAGACCCCTCAGCAGTGTCTGTCCTCCTGCACTTCCAACACAGACTGCCCTAGACTCCAGCCCATTTATTTCTCTGGAACAACCACCATCACTCACTATCTGCTCAGTTGTGATTCCATATTCTTCCCCCTTGGTTTATTTCTGCAAAGTGGAAGCTACTGTAGAATTATGCCTCCTAGCAACTGCTTATTACTTTCTGTAAATACCCAGCCACGCTCAATATCTGAGTCATCCTGGTCTTTATTTTCAGGAATAACCACACTCCTCACACATGCCTGCTTAGTTAGGGCTCTCTCATTTATACCCCCAGGACACAGTCACTAAATGTGCCATCATGTTCAGCACTTGGGTTTTTTGAAAAGCTTACTGAGCACCCATGACCTGCTAATGGAGTGGACTTCCATCAGTGCAGAAGAAACCAACTGCCTCTCAGGAGGCCTATCTGCCACAGGAATCATTGTGTCTTGTGGGGATTGCCCACTTGCTAATGGAAAGTGTGTCTCTGAACCAAAGTCACCTGACAGGTGACCAACAGTCTTTCCTTTTACTTCACAGGAGCTTGGAAAATGCTCTGGGTGGAGAAAAAATAACGGATCTTAATACACCTCCTTTAAACAATAACAGTAAGACGAGATCCCGTGGAATTCATTTTTATGGAAATATTTTTAAATCTTTTAAGGACACTTACAAAGAAAAACCTTTTTTTTGCAAAACCCAGGGGAACTGATCAGTAAAATTATGCCAAGTCAGAAGCTTATAAAACCAACTGGAAGACTGCTATTCCATATGCATGTCTGTCTGCACTCATCTAGCATACAAATGCTGTGCACAGGCATCTAAAAGATGGTGCCTGTACCTTTTTATGTAAATTGTTCTTTGGGGTGATCCAGGTTCATAAAATCAAGCAGATTTCTACATGACATTTGGGAAAAGCTGTCCCTTCCTTATTCCCCTACCTCCTGAGCTGATGCCTGGCGATTTAAAGGGCTCACTCCATTGAAGGCAGCAGCTGCTCTTCTCTTGCGACCAGGCAAAGTATTCCTGAATTGTCTCCTGTTGTATTGTTGCTGTCCAAACCCTCTTCTGAAACGGTTAGGTCCTACAAAAAAACAAACAAAGAACCTCTTATTTTAGTGTCTTTCAAAATTTGATTTATGATTACAGTTTTGCAAATGGATTACAAGGTTAACTTAATATGGCACAGGGGTATCTATACAAATAGTGGTGCAAGAATCACATTAATTCATTCCAAAAAGTATTAAATAATTAATCTTTCCAATGTCTCGCTAACATTCTTATTCTGTGTAGGACTGACATACACATTATTTGATGTGAAAGAACAGAGAAGACAAGAGAAGAGAAAAGCTTTCCACAATTTTGATTCTTTATAAAGGCAGGAACACCCACATCAGGAGACCTGTCAATCTGTTGTCAGAGCTCACTTTGCTGTGAATTAACTATGAAACAGAAAAGGCCTTTTGATACAGATACACAAGTGACTCGAGCATCCGGAAGCCAACCCCACAGCAGCCTGGAATAGCTCTGAGTGCCCACATTATAGCACCTGGTAAGTGAAGACTGAACTGTGATTTTTATGCATATATATATTTATTTTCTTTTAGCTTGACATATCCTTACTGCACCTATTGCAGAGGACACCTGCTGCTGCTGTTTTACGTAGTGGTACAATCCATACACACCCACTGTCCATCTCCATTTAACCTTTCCCCTTAATCCTGTTGGTGATTTTGAAGTGTGCTGAAGCATTTTGGTGAGTGAGAAGAAAGCACTCTGTCAGACCAAGGCACAGTGCTTTCAAGCCTAATCACTCCACAGGATGAATTTCTGTAGTCATAACGAAATAGAAAGTTTCTGAGTCGCTGTGTGAGCTGACGCAGGGGGGCAGCCAGAACAACCACAAACATCACAGCTAAAATGCAGAGAGGGAATTTATTTCCATTACCTCGCTAACCAGTGGGATCAGCAGGTTCCTGAAGCAACACCTGGGCAGAGGCACGTGAGCAGAGTTAAGTTTGGCCCAATATTAGATCATCACAGGTTCACACAGTTCATCCAGGGTTTTGTGCATGCAGAGTTTACCACCATGCTGCGTTTTGATCTTCTCTGTACCAAGGCAGGGAGCTTGGTTTGCAAACCTTCCGTTTTTAGCTCTTTCCCCCCAGCAGTCACTACACTGGTGAGACATGCACACGTACTCAGGGGTGAATAAATCAGGCACAAAGCTGTGCAGGGCAGAGGGCAGCGAGAGCACACTCAAATCCTGGACCAGAGAGCAGAACCTCACTGGTACAGACCACAGAGCAGTTGGCTGCAGGTATTGATCTTACACCACTCATTGCTACATCACAGCAGTTTATACTGACTTGGAGCAATTAGAAATGAAGTGTCCTGAGGCAGTGCTGCCAAGGGCCACCACCACAGTGAGGAATGAAGGCCCCAGTCCCAGGGTGTAACACTGGCCGGTACCAGCTTGAGCCGCTTACACTGGAACACAGGTAAAGATGACCTGAGCTGCACAGGCTCTAGAACAGAAGGGCACCAGGGCATGCCCACGGGAAGCAGCTCCCAAACAGCACGCTGGGGTGCTTTGTGCTCTACGGCTGGAGATGCTTTAAGAACACACACAAATGCAATGAGGTTCACAAGCTCCGTGGGGCCAGTAGTTATTTCCTCTGCAAAAGAAGTGCAAGTGTGTAAATGTTCCTCTCTTGACAAACACTGAATTTTGGCAAACTGTTTCTTTTTGACCAGATGTGGACTTGCTGTGTTTAACTGTCCTTTGATGTTTCCTCCTGCTTCTGTCCCCCCAGTTTGTTTTTGCCCTGTTTTGTTCTCTTCAACCACCACTCTGGGCTTGCCCCTCTCTCTTGCCTATTTGCCAGACTGCTCTCCTGCAGGCCACCAAGCCTTGCAACACAGCTCTCCTGCACCCTGCAGAGGGCATATCCTCCACAGCCAGAGACTGAGCTCAGCTGCCTTTCCTGGGTATTCCATCAGGGTGATGGGAGGGACTGCTGCAGAAGGCAGCCCTGACTAGAAAATCGTGCCCCTGTCAGTCTGTTCCTATTAGAGATCCTCTGCTCAGCAGTGCATTCAGGCACCCCTCAGCCAACATAAATAACTCATGACAGAGCCATCAGCCTCTGAGGGGAACCCCGTGTACACCAGCTGGGGATCAAGGCCTCAGTCTGCCATGTGTGTCCCGAAGTGTGACACACAGGAGGTTCCACCTCTGCAAAAAGGCTGGTAGGTATTTAATAATGAAAGAATATTTGAATAAAACCTCACAGCATCAGCAGCTGGGGAAGAACCCCCTCCCAACCCCCATGATTGGGTGCACACTCAGAGCTTGGTGCTGAACACACCTGGGTTGGCCAAGAGGCACCTCTGCTCAGCCAGTCCAGTCTGGGGAGAAGTCCCTATGGATGGCTGACTCTTTTTCCAAGGAGATTTGAAATTCAAATTTCCTGTCATTAAAAATCATCTTTTCCCCACTGGGGAGATGGTTTAATCCATATTCCAGGAGGTATAACAGCACTTTGCTTGCTGGTTTAATCAGCATAATACTCTTCTCCCTCCTGTCATTACAGTGCTGGGCTCCTCTGATTGTCATTTTGATAATGGTTATCTCATCTCAGCCAGGAGGGACTGCATTTCAGCAGGGACTGAAGTGAACTGAGCCCCTGAAGAATTATGGGCTGAATTCCCAGTCGTGCCAAGTTTCCCCAAATTGCTACTGACATCAGCACCACACAGCATGGTGGGGCTCTGCTCTTGGCAGGGCTGAATTCAGACTCAGTGAAAACCCATGAAACACTAAAACTAGCAGAAATAATTCTATAAAGGAACAGAAGTTCTCCCATCTAGTGAATAAGGAAAAAAAAATTTGTTTGATTTATTTGATTCTGGATGCAGGAGTCACTTGAGTGGGGAAGAATATCAAAGCCTGTGTTTGACAGAAAAAAATCAATTTGCAAAGGGCAATTATCATCATTCTGTTTTGAACTGGAACGATCCTTGGTAAGGCAATATGTGAGGGAAACCAAAAACGTGAGGGTGGGAGGAAGATCAGAGACAAGCAGGATTGCTCCCAGAAATCCCACTGTCCTGATGTGCCATTGGCACTCCAATGTAAGATTTCAAAGACATTGCTGCAAAATGTCATTAAAATCTTCAAGGAAGGGATTTAGCAGTAATTAAACAAATTGATAAGAAATGGCATTTCATGCAGCAGATCACTCTGGGTTTGTAGGTAAAAACTAGTGGAACAAAACAAAGTGTGTGATCACTCAGTATTATAAAAAAAAACTCACCATGCTTGGCAAAAGTGACAATTTAGCTCCAATAACTGAGCTATCAAATACAGTTACTGAAGGGGTAATTTGGGTAATTTAAGTCTGCTCTGGGAAAATGAGGATTAGGAAGAGGCATAATTAAAATATGCAAAGCCAGGGGGAATAGAGAATAGATATTAAGTCACTTTAAATTAGCAATTCACGAGAGAGTGGAAGGGAGAGAAATGGATGAATTATGCTCTGAAAGGGCCCTGATATTCCATTGTTGCAGAGAAAAAAGCTAATCAGAGCCCAAGCACATCTTATACGTGCACAAAAATTAGATAGAAGGATTTAAGAGCTGTATTTTGTCACAAAAGTGCGTTTTTCAGCCTGGCAGGGCTCTGCCATCTCAAGTGCCCATCTACCTTGCAAATTCCTCTGCTTCCAGGCACCATAACGGGGCCACCCGTACCCGAAGGCTGAACTCCTGTTCTTGACCTGCTGGCTCCTGCTGTCGCCCGAGGTGCTGGAATCTGTTTGCTCTTTCCTGTGGCGCTTGATGATGTCATCTAGAATGAAATGACAGAGGAGAATTCCATAGAACCTGCACTTTCTACAAACAGGGATTCCCTCTTTTGGTGCTTGCAATTGTCCGTGCTAAAAACGGAGCTCGCTGCTCTGTGAGCTGCACCGGCCAGACAATAAAAGATTAAGCTTAGCTTAGAAAGTATAGGATCAATTTACTCAGCCTTTGCAGGCTGGAGATTAGAGTATAGCAAATGATTTAAAAATGAGCTACCATCCAGCACATCCCCACCACAGGCAGGACAGAGCTCTCAGTGAGGTGGTCTGAAATCAAGGGGTTCTTCTTAATTCAAGTTGTTCTGATGAAAAGGCAAGGCAAAAGTGGAACATCACCTCCTCATTAACTCCTACTTTCCAACAATTTCTTCTTTTAATCTCAAACCTTCCAGAAAATACTTAGCAAGTAATAAAGTCACATCTGTGAAGCTCCAAGCTGAATGTTTTAACAAATTAGCAAGGAATGAAGTGTCCAAAAACAGGCTCAGAGTGGCTATTCCAGCTCCTTAATGTGTCAGTGGAGTGGAAGGACAGAAGTGCCATTAGCTTTCAGTGGGTGCTTACCACGAACCATCACACCCCCAGCACTTGTCCCTTGTCATTTTCTATCAAGAAACTCCCGTGTCCAAATGGATACAAAGCCCAAGGAAAAGGAATGAAAGCAGAAGTAAGAATAGGCTGTGTGACTGCTTTTGTGATTTCTCTCAAGTCTGCCAGGAAGAGAGTAGGCTGGGAGAGGCCAGGCCATGCTTTTAGGATGAATGCACTAATGCTCTCAGCTAAGTGTGCCTTCAGGACATGTGTGATTTGGGGCACAGGCTGATCCGAAGCACATCAACAGCATCCCGGCACACTCTGCAGGGAGGTGACCCCAGGCACCCAAGGGTGGGCTGTCACAGCATGAGGAAGAGCTTGCTGGGAGCCAAGAGGAGCTGAAAGCTCAGGTGCCTGGTCTGTCACCTTTCAGTGTATTTTTTTGTTTAGGTATGAGTTGTTACCCTGCCTTTTGTGGCCATGAATACGATGGAGTTAACAGAGCGATGTAATGGAGTACTATGAAAGACTGGAAGGGATCCTGAAAGGTCATTTATGGTACACCTACACCTCGAGGCAGAATTATATCTATCAGGGCAGCTTTAGAGCAACTCCTGCAGTTTTTTGGGACTGCTAACTCCAGTAAGGCCAAATGTATCTGAAAGCACGAAAAAAGCACCTGTCAGAAAAAGTTCTTCATCAGGGCTCTTGCCTTTCAGTTCTCTCTTCTACCCTGAGTAAGCTGTATTCTGGATGGAATATGGATTTGGACCACAGGAGGTCTGACCAAGGGAAGCACTAAAGGAGAGCAAAAGCAAAGGGACCATCACAAAATTTTTTTGTTAAAAAAAAATTATTAGCAAAAAGAAAAAGGGTGTGCAATACCATGGGAGAAAAATAAACCAAAAATGAGGGAACCACTGTTGCTATAACTCTTCACAGAACCATTAAAACACGGGTGCATCAGCCAAGGGATAAGTTTGAGTTTGCAGTGGAAAATGTTCTGCTGCTCCTGACAAATGGCTCGTTGCTGGAAGAAATGACACAAGGTTTCAGTTAGGAAGCTGACCCAACAGCAAAAGGTGCTGGTGGACTTTCCTCCCACAGCAGAGAACGCCAACACGATAATCCACCAAGATCTCTCGTCCATGCGTCAGAATCCAGGCCTCGGGAGTTCATGACAGGGCGGTTGTTTATGCACAGTTCACATTCCCGGTGCCAAAGGCATGGCGAGCATCGGAGCGAGCAGCTATAAATAGCGGCACCGCGAGGACATGGCTCCTCTCCTCCTGCCACCGGGGGCTGCTTTGCGGGAGCCCCTCCGGCCCGCTCCGTCCCCCGAGTTACGGGGCTGCTGCCAGCACAGCCCGGAGAGGGGTTCGCGGGGATCCCGCACACACCTTCTCCGTCCTGCCCGGGGCCATCGGGGCAGGGGGACGCGGGCAGCGAACAGCGGCCTCCGCCCGCCCCGCCCCATCCCGCACAAACCCCCCCGCCGCGTCCCCGCACGGAGCCCCCCCACCCCCGAGCTCCCTCAGCCCGGCCCGGGCAGGGCCCCCCGCGCCCCCCGCACCTACCCAGGGACATGTCGATCTCCTCGGCCCCCGGCTGCGGCCCCGCCGCGGGGCCCGGCGCGGGGAGCGGCCCCGCCGCCTCCATGGGCTCGGAGCGCCTGAGCCTTCGCCCCGCGCACTGCGCCTGCCCGGAATGTGCCGCCGCGGCCCCGCACCGGCCCCCGCCCGCCTCCCTCGGCCCCCGCCCGCTGCCCCCCGTGTCCCCCGCCCGCTGCTCCCCGTGTCCCCCGCCCGCTTCCCCCCCGGCCCCTGCCCTCCGCCCCCGACCCCTCTCTCCGCCCCCGTCCAGCCCCGCGACTCGCTGTGCTCAGCCCTGCGCTGGCTCTCTGCCCTCCGCACCCTCCCCACCAACCCGCGACACCCCCCCCCCCTCTATTAAGCACCGTTTTCCAGCCGCCGGGCTTTTCTCCCTTCCTCTTTTCCCTTTCTGCCCCCGAACCCTTCCCCTCTGGGGTGTATGCCAGCAGCAGATGTATCTTAAACGTTATTTAAGCAGTTATTTCTGAGCGATGTGAACGACGGAATGACCTCGCCTCGTTCTGAAGATAAGAAAAACAAGGCGACTCTCTGCAAACAAAGATACTCTTGGCTCGTATTCGTGCGTGAAGTATGTTCTCTGTGTTTGTGAGCGCCTCGAGGAGGAAGCACCCGTTCGGAATTGGTCTTTCACGAAAGTCAGATTCTTCAGGGGATCTTTCAGTCTCTGCGTCACGTTGGTTGTGGCACCAGGGCTATTCTGCAGTTTGAATACAAACTGTGAGCTAAACCATCTAACTCTACTTTTAAAGCCAGATGAAAAAGAAAAAAAGAGACGGGGGAAACAATCCCTGCTCTTCCAAAGGGCTGCTGCCAATCAAGTGAAGAGCACGCTTTTTTCTGAAGTTTCCATGTGATAAATGCTCTGAAATAATCTCCCACACTACATACATAATAGGGGCCAAATAAATCTCGAACCATGGCCCGATGTTTAAAGTTTTCAAGACAGTTTCTTTTTCCCAGCTTGAACTTCAAATAGGAGAGAAACTTCTACATGCAGATCAGTCAGGGCAGAGAACCTCCTGGTATGTGTACAGCTCTTAGCGAGATCAAGTGCTCCTGGAAGTGTTGGTTTAGGGAAGTGTTCTTTCATGAAAGAACAGAACAGTGTTGAGAGAGCAACAAACAACCTTTGCTGTCTTTTGCAGTGACACTGCAGAATGATCATTAAAGCAGTTTAATGTGAAATGTCAGAAACCAGGGTCATGATCCTGCAATCAGTTTTGCAATGTTCTGTGTATGCAAGGTGTGCTGGGGGTGCTGTACTCTCTGGGGAGCCCTGGCTCTAATCCCCCCTAGTCCGAGAGCTTTCCTCCAAAGAGCATCCTTAAAATTTCTGAGCAATTTAGCCAGAGCAGCCAGGGAAGTTGTGGCTGCTGGGAAAGGGCTGGAAGTATCCATGTAAGCCCAGCATTTAGCAACAGACTGTGAGAGGAGGTTGATAGTGGTGTCGTTTTCTAGCACTTACTAAGGAGCGTGTAGGAGGAAGGCTCTGGGCAGTGTCCTGAGCTGTGAAGCAACAGCTGCCAGGAGCTACGAGGGAAGGACTGCAGGAGGGGTCTGGAGTCTCCTCTGAGTACAGCCCAGCCCTGCACTGAGTGACCCAGGTTTCCTCAGGGGGCAGCAGCTGGAGTTGGTCGTGCTGTGGGACAGTGAAAGGTCTCGTGGCTTTCTGCAAAATCCTGCACGCTTGTATCTTCGGAAAACCTGAAAGCAACGGCTCAGAGATTTCCAACAGCGTTTCTATTTGATCACGTTTAGTGAAACAAACATTTGAGATCAAAGAAGGGAAAAGGCAGAGTTTAGAAATGCCAACTTCTAAAATATTAGGTATTTTCAAAGGACATTTTTTTCATAGAACTACAATACAGCTTTTGCAACAAATTCTGCTTCACCAGGTGAGAGGTTTAATTAGCTGCTTTCCTTCGAGTGCATAGCATTGAAAGCAGTGATAAAACCTTTCCAAGCCATATTTCTGCATCTGGAAAGTATGAGCTGATATGTATTCTGTTATCTCTCAACTGCCAGTCTGACTCTTAACATCTTGGCAAATGTCCCATTTGCTTAGTATGTCCAAGCACTGCCATTATCTCAGTTCTGAGCAATTTCTCACATTAACAGTGTAGGTGACACATGCTGGAGTTGGTGAAAAGGCCTGAAGAGCGAGAACCTCCTCTAAAGCATAATCCCCCTCCACTGGAGAGAACTGCAGGTGTCTGGCAGACAGACTTGGCCCTGCATCCTAAGAAAGGAATGTCAGGAATGTGACTTTCACAGTGGAAAGGTAGGATTAGTAAAAGAACAATGAGAAAAGTAAAGAAAATTGCACTTTCCTGTAGAACTGGTTTGTGTTGACTCACTGATACTGTGGCAACAAGCCTCAAGCTGAGCCTTCAGAGAACACTGGGGCATCTCTGCCAAAGGTGCCAGGTATTCCTTCCCCTTGTTAGGCACAGGCATAACCAAGTTGTTCACAAAGAGCAAGTGTTAATTAGGGTCACTGGGCCTTTCAATTTATCAGATGCTCTTCTTATCACATAATGAAACCCCAAGGAACCCTAGAAGGCTTTTAGCTGAAACTAAATAAAAATAGAACTCAGTGGGAGAAGGGAACACCTGTCAGCAATCCAACACTTGTATCATCTGAAATGTTTTCTCAGCCTCTCAATAGATTTAGTTAATCTTCGACATGTTAAATAACTTGTGATGATTTGTGGTTGCGATAAATCTTACACCATGATCTAAAAATTAACCACTGGCCACTTTGTCTGTTGTTCCCAGGGGTACCTCATATCACAGTTATTTAATGCAAATTGCAAAATATATGACCATTCTCTTTCAGTGAAATGCACCCATGACTTGATTGCTAATAAATGCTTTTTCTTGGAAAGTAAGGCTGGGTGGCTGTAGGAATATGTATCAGTGGAAGATTAGCATCTGCATGTACACATCTGTATCTGAGGGTATGGAAGCTCTCCAGCCTCTCCCAGACTTGCTCAAAGCATAAACAAGCGTTTATTTTAACGGGCCAAAACTGTGATCGCTTCTGTGACACTCTGGATTTTGCCCACAAGGGGGGTGTTTAGGCCTTTTCATTCGTGAGAACCACAGGACCATCAGCTCTTCACAAGGCACACTGGTAGCAGTACAGCTTCGATAGCTTGCTCCAAAACTGGTGAACCACCACTAAAAAGAACTTGGGTTTTATTGTTAGATGCTGAACGTGGCCTCAGAACCATATGTCACCACTTGAAAATCATCTTCTCGAGAAGATGGAAGAAAAAAAAACTCTTCTTCAGGCTTTCTGAAGAAAAGTATTTATTTTACCATTTCCCAGAATGAGCTACATCGACGAATGATAATTCAGTTTTTATGCAGAAGTTCTGACTGGATGGTATAAAGTGGCTGAGGTGCACACGTCCTCGAGCTCTGCTCAGGGAAAACAACTGCTCAACCACAGATAATGACAAATTCCATGCTTGGCTTCTTACACATTTAGCACATGAAGCCTGCCTACAGTAAAACTGCAAGGTATTTAAAGTGGTGTTGGCTTTTTCTCCCCCTCTGTCTCTCTGTATGTGTATTAAAATTGCAATCTCATGGGAAACTACTCTTATGATACCCATAAACTGTACCTCTGGACTGTGCAGAAAGTCCCCAAAGTCATCCCAGAAAAAACCATGTGCACAGTATGACAGGGAGTTGGTAGCTTCAGTGCAATCTGTAAATATAACCGGTAAATGAAGATCCACAGATACACCACATGCTGCTTGCTGTCATGGAGTAGTTCCAGTTTATGCTGCTTTTAGGGCTCTCTCAATATTAAAGTAAACTTTCATTGAAAGGGCTACATTTCTAATCTCACCAAAAAACAAGCAAGGCAAGTATGGTACTGCACAGCAAACAAGTTATTCAAAATGGAATAAATGGACAAATCCTGTCTGAAATCAAACCAGAATGATCCAGTAAAGGACAAAGGCCTCTGCAGCACCACAAGGAGGTATTTCCAGTGCATGTAGTTGGCATAGGTGGTGCTTGAAATGACATGCTTGAGGGGAGGTGCTGCCCTCCCCCCTGCCTTCAGAACTGTATTTTCTGGTGCTCAGGGAAGCATTGCTAGCTATACAATGAATAGATGCTCCCAGTGGGAAAGGTACCAGGAATCTTCCCATTAATGGATCTCATCTCTTGTTGTGGTCTGTACAAACAGACTGTTAAGAACAGATATTGCTCTCCAAAGCAGCTAAAGAGAATTCTGCTTGCTTCTTTTCTATTCAAGCATCAGAAGCTGGAGTATTTTGAGCTATTTCTAGCTCTTTAAAATTTCAGATAAATGACTGCCCTTTAGCATGGACAGAGGGTCATTTGCCTTTTAACCTAATTAGGATTATATGTATAGTTTGCTTGCTTTGCTTTCAAAGAGAGCCAAATGATGCCACTTCAGTATGAATCTTGAATCCGGGTATTTGGAGATTATTTTAACTGCCTGTGGGAAGCTGTGGACACTTGCAGGTCTTGAAGAAAAAAAGCAGTATCCATGAGGAATAGAGCATGCACTGAAATGCAAAGTAAGTGCAAAGGAATTGAAGAGGCATTAAGGAGGTGGCACCAGGATCATGGGAGTGTTGAAGTAACAGTAACTGTGTTATCTCAGTGCCTCACCCACGGAGGAGGACTGAGGCTACTCATAAAGAAGCATAGCAAGAACAGCAGGAAAGCTCTGGAGTTTAATTGCTTAAAGCAAGAAAATCTCCAGAGGATGCAAAAAAAGGTCAGTGCTGACATCTCAGGAGGATTTAATTTCTCAAAGCAAATGGCAATCTAGATTGAAAAAGACCCGCTGTGTGTTCAGCTTGAGTACTTAACTCAGGAACACCGAAAGCTTCAGGGGTCTCTGTGCTTTTGACAATCCCTGTCGCTTGGCCTCAGGTGCCCAGGGCTCCTGTTGCCTGGCAGAGGCCTGCAGGCACTGCGGGGGTGTCGAGGGAGCATCACACTGCACAACACCCTGGGCAGCACCTCAGCTGTGCCACCGTGTGCTGATGTCCTTCCCTTGTGCCCTGCCCTGCCCTGGGACACAGCCTGCAGCACACACTGCAGGGTGTCAAAGGAAACGGGGAGAGATCAGGGACTCCACTCTCACTTTCCCTCCTGTCACGATCAATATTACACCGACACTGCCAGTACAGATTGGCCTTGTGTGGCTCTCTCCAGAAGGCAGTGCTCTGGGGACGTTTGGAGCTGTGAGCAATGATGCTGAGCAGGGGTGACAAGAGCTGTGGGAGCAGCACAGGCAGAGCAGCAGGACAGGCACGCAGCTCTCACTCACACTTGCTCTGAGCATGGCTTGGGTCAACCGTCCTTGCAAGACTTGTGAGCAACCACATCTTGCACTCCATGTTGGAAGTTAGATAGATCAAAGCCTGATCTAGATCTCATTCCTCTAGGCATTAACATGAGCTGTAAAAGCCGGCTGGTGTCATATCTTTATGAGTTTTTATCTCGTCTGGAACAGATATGGGTAACCACAAAGACTTTCAAACTTGAAGCTCTTCATGGAAGTGTGGGATTTTCAGAAATCTTCAAACTCCTGAAACATCAGCTCTGCCTGGCATGGGACCAAGAAAATATCTTTGTCTTGTGCAGTCTCATGACAACATCTGAGCATTTCCACCTCTTCTTGTATGCACCTTAACTGCCAAAACAAATAAGAAAATGCAACCATCTCTGTTTTATAGGAGAAACTGAGGGATGACACAGCTCTGCCTTACTGCTTATTATGCCAGGAAGGTTGTTTTGGGAAGCCTTCTGGCCCTAGACTAGTGACTCTGGTTTTATTTGTAGAATTACAAAGAAGGGGGGACATGGGGAGAAAGAACTGTTGAAAGGCTGTGAAATCCAGTATAAATAAAAGTAATTAGATTTTAGTGCTCCAGACATCTGTTCTGATTCTGCAGCTATTGGAGGTGATAAATGACCCCCACAGGTAAATCTGCTCCACCACAGGAACGTGCAATCAGTTTTCAAGCTTTTGCCCCAGTGAGCAGCAATTTGCTCGAGACAGTTTGCAAATTGGGGATTTTTGGTTAGGAAAAGCCTCAGACATTGCTCCCAGCCTGTTGTAGGGGACACTCCAGTGCCTTTGAAGATGTGAGCATGTGTCTGAGCAAACTGAGCGAGCTGGGTTTGCTCCTCGGTAGGAGCACCTGCAGGCACAGCAAGCATTTGGTTAAGGATAAAAAGGCCCCCCCGTACGTGAGAACTCCAGTGTGACAAAATGGTGTTTTGAGTCTTCTGACAATTTGTCAGGCCTATTTCATACAGAGAGAGCTGAGCCCCTTTCTCTGTCTAACTTGGGCTCTGAACAGCAAGCGGCTGAGTGATGTGGCTGAGAGGGAGGACAGCAAATCTGCAGCTCTGAGCTGGCCCCGTGCCAAGACACCCGCTTTGGAAACTCAGAGCAACTAGTTCTAACATTTAGTAGAATTTAGATGCTGGAGCTGGTCCTGGCTGCTGCTCTGCCTCACTCCTGCCAGCTGCTGAGGCACTGTACCTCCTGCTCCACGTCTGCAGGCAAAATCATCCTACACACTTGGCCCGACACCAGTCTGGGTTTATTCACCCTCCACCCTCTCTGGCTGGAATCTCAACCGAGGGCAGCACTCAGAAGTGTTTATAGAGGTTTGTCTGATTTTCTTGCTGTGAACCCAAGGAACAATCAGCTTTTTCAGGGCAAGAGCAGGAGCTCTGGCCCAGGCAGACTGATCGGTAGATAGTCATCTGTAAGCTTGAATCCCACAGCCCCTACAAGTAGCCAAGGTTAGAGGAAGCAGAAAGCCACAGTATTTGCAGGTGACAATGGGAGCCCTTTCCCCACCACAAGTGCATTTTGCACATAGGCCTTGTTGTTGGAAGGGGAATCTGTTTGCTGGGACATGGTGATCCCAAAGTCCATCCAACACTGCATCGAAGGATTGAACCCTTCACTCTTTAGTACCTTCTTATTGATCCTGGCTCATTTAGTTCTACTGAATTTCAGCCAGAGATCACCCAACACAGTACTTCAGGGCTGTTCCTCTTTCGACTGATAATGGCTCAGCTGTCTCTCAGTGACATGTTGTTGACTGAAGGGCAATCTCTTCCATGTTGCTTATAGACAGAATTTCCCTTAGATCCCAAAATTAGGCATGATGTATGCGTGCAAAAAACCAAACCCCTAAAACAATTTAAGAATTCAGGGCCTTCAGGAGGATCAAAGCATAAAGGCAGATTCTGCTTATCAAATCCACAACAATTCCATTAAAAAGTAGGTCTATGAGCCTTTCCGTAGCATTTCCTAATCATGCCTCGAGAGTAATTTTTCACAGATAAGTATGTAGACCTAACACGTACAGATTACAGGGTAACAAAGGCAATTATCCATCCATATGGCGTTCCAGCAGTTGTGTAGCATTTAACTCACATAACTGGGCCCCGGACATTGCAACCAGCTTCTGATTTATGCCTCACCACTTCCCTTTCACATTCTGAGTCACAAGCATTCGCGTCTCTGAGGCTTTTGCGAGTGTTCTCTAACCCATTTCAGGGTGACCCCCGCACTCCCATTCCCTTTGTTCTGCCATGGACGACTCCTGGATGTATTTTCCCTGCCACCAGCGGGGATCCGCAGTCCCTGGCCGGCGCTGTCCTTACGGGTTTCCAGGGCAGAAGCGATGGATGCTGTGATGCACCTGGCGCAGGTGACCTTTGGATGAGGATCTGCGGTGCCGCAGACCCGACCCCAAACCTGAGCGGTGCCTCAGGGAGCGGGCACAGCCGATCCGCCCCGGGCCGGGCAGGGACACGCTCCCACCGGCGCCAGGGCTGCCCAGCAAATATTTGCCATGTTCTGTCAGCTCTGAACCCTTCTCACGGCTCCCCTCAGCCCCGGCCCGGCTGCGGGACCCCCCCCCCCGTTCCCGGGATTTTCCCATTCCCGGGATCCCCCCCACTCCAATCCCGCCCCGCTCCCTCAGCGCCGGCAGCGCCCCCTCACGACCCTCAGGCACCGCCTCGGGGAGGCCACGCCCCCTCGCCCCCGGCTCCGCCGCGGATTGGTGGGAGCGGCCGAGGGGCGCTCAGAAGCCCCGCCCTCCCCTCGCGCGGCGCCCCCTGCGGGCCCCGCGGCGCGTGCGCAGCGGCGGCGGGGCGGCCCCGGCCGTTGTTGTGGAGGGGCCGGTCAAGATGGCGGCCGGGCAGGGGGGCGGCGGCGGCAACAACGGGAGCGGCGGCGGGAGCGGAGCGGCGGGGCTGGGCATCCCCGCGCACCTCACCCTCTCCTTCTCGGCCGGGCCGCACTGGGGCGCGGCCGCTCTGCCGCAGCCGCACACGGTGCGCAGCCTGGAGCGGGCCCTGGAGGAGGCGGGCAGCTCGGGCATCCTCTGCCTCAGCGGGAGGAAGCTGCGCGACTTCCCCGGCAGCGGCTGCGACCTGAGCGACACCACGCAAGCGGGTGAGGGGACTGCGGCTGTGGCGGGGACGGGGCTGCAGGGGCCGTGCGGGGCGGGCGCGGGCCCGGGCGGGGGGTGCGTCCCCACTGTGGCGGCCGGGGACGGGCAGTGGGGGGTGCGGGCCCTGCTGCGGGGGCTGCAGCGAAGGGGTCCCTGTGGTGATAGGGCAGCGCTGCGGGGGCTGTGGGAGCAGCTGGGGGGTGACACGGCAGCGGCTGCTCTGGGCGACGAGCGGTCCCGCTGGGTGAGAGCAGGGGGGACAGTGGGGAGGGCCCACGTTTGGGGGGGCTCTCCCCGGAGGCAGCAGGACGGGGTGTGCAGGATGTGGGGGTGCAGTGGTGGGGCTCCCCCTGCGCGCACTGGGGGCGGTTCTGCCGCGGGTGTCTCGGGGGAGCGTCCCTGCAGCTCCCTGGGAGCGGCACCCGGTGCCTCCTGAGGGCGAGCGGAGCGGGGTGTCCTGGGGTGCCTCGGGAGGTGGGGGGCGAGGGGCCCCAGCAGCGAGTGGCTCTGTGTGAGTGTGAACGCTCAGGGCTGTGTGTGAGTGTGTGTGTGTGAAGGCACAGGGCTGTGTGTGTGAGTGTGTGAAGGCACAGGGCTCTGTGTGTGTGTGTGACTGAAGGCACAGGGCTCTGTGTGTGTGTGTGACTGAAGGCACAGGGCTCTGTGTGTGTGTGTGACTGAAGGCACAGGGCTCTGTGTGTGTGTGTGAAGGAGGGGGGCTGTGTCCCCTGTGTCGGTCTGTCCGTGCCATCAGGACGGGGACTTGCAGTCGGTGAGCACGGAGCAGGGTGTGCAAGGTGAACGGAGCTCTTTATTCGCGCTCTGGGGAATAAGAGCTCCGTGCTGTGGTTGGTTTGTACCTTCAGGGCTGTCGGATCCCTGGCAATGGAGCTGTATCGCCTGGGCTACTCAGGTCGGTCCTTCTCCTCAGCTCAGCAGGAAGATGGTTCCAAGCGGGGGTGCGAGGGTTGTCTGCACATCCAGCGGTGCGTGTGGAGAGCTTGGGGTATTCACTGTATTGGTAAAGGCTTGGATATCGTGAGTGGGCCTGCATTCACCCAGGCTTGTAGGTGAAGGAAACATGGAGGCCTTTTTCTCTACAGTTCCTAGAAAACAAAGCTGCATTTTCCATGAAGGTTCTGCCATACCTTGGCTGGTCCCTGATGTGCTCTTGGGTTTATTTGCTGCTGGGTTACTCGTTGAAAATGGATCATTTTGAGTAATGTGCTAGAAGAAAATATTATTGAGAGGCCAAAAGGATCTTTTATTCACAAGTAGTAGTGGCTTTCTGAAATGTTGTTTGGGTAAATAAATGCTGTGGGGTTTTTTTTGTTTTGTTTTGGGGCTTTTCTTTCCCCATGGGTTATGAATCACTGGTGTATTGTTTTGAATAGGAGACTGCCCACTGTGGTACCTTAAAATAAAAAGAGGTTCCATGAAATAATAGAAGCTGGAGTTTTCCTTGTAGTATCGTAAAATGTGTTTAGTGATGTAGTTGGTCACTGCTGTGTATAAATATTCAATAACTGAAGCATTAAGGAAGAAGCATTGTAGGCATATAGGCAATCTGTTTTTAAAAAGGCTTTCTGTATCCTGAAATGGGTGCATCAAGGATCAGTGGTTTTTGGTTGCTTCGAATTATTACTGTTTGCATTTTGGCAGTTTTTTGGTCATTTTATTTTGAATCTCAACGTTTGAGTAAGAGCTGTCTGCAGCGATCTTGTGTTTCTGTTTTAGGATGTGGCAGAGGCCAGTCAGTGCCCTCAGGATTGAATTGTTGTGAACAATGGTGTGAGAATGTTTGTGGGCAGTCTCTGACAGAAATAGCTTTACTGCTTGCTCTGCTGTAGGATTCCCTACTGAAATAGTTGATGTGGGCCTGTGCAAGTGCCATCTCGTAACAATCCTAATGTAATGTAGCCCTGGTTTATGAATGGATCCTGAGAAATACAAATTTTAAATGTCTTTCAAAAGATGCTTTCAAGCAAAAGATTTGTATTCTCTATTTTAACTTGATCTGTAGAATTTTTTTGTTGGTGGGTAAATGGTGTTCTGTTGGTGAATCTTGGACATCCTTAACAGAGTGTCAGTGTGGCCTGGAGCTTAGTGGGGGATCAGCAGCTGCCTCAAAGGCAACAGTCATGTAGTTATTGGCATTTTTGTAGCAGTTGTCCCTGTTTCACATGGAAATATTCCCAGGGACAAGGTTCTAGGTTGAGGCTGAGCCGCGGGATATGGGGGTTGGGTCAAAACTCTTTGCAATGTTTCACTTTCTGTTCCAAGTCAGTGACTGAATTTCAGTTCTGTGGTACTTGAATCAGCCTCTAATCAATCTGGATGTAAACAATTTTTTTTCCATATTGCCAACCCTTATGCAGTAGGATCTGCAGTGTTACTGTAAACCCAGAATATTCTGCCTTTATATCAGTAAAGTCAGCAACAGCAATGCTGAAGCACAACTGCTGTTGATTTATCAAAAGTAACTCGGGATTTTATTTTGCATCTAACTTACATAATGGCTTGACAATACTTAATTTGCAAATACAGTGACATACTTTTTGCATCTTAAATTATAAGTCAAAAATTATTGCTGAGCTGAAAGCATAGTGACCATATCTGACTGTTTAGTTTTTTGGTTTTTTTTAACTGTGAATTGTCCTTGCAGCACTTTGTGCAAGAAATCCTTATTTTATTATTTACCTGAATTTGTCTTCTGGCTGTTCAAACAGATCTTGTGCTGCTGTTAATGAACTTCTGGAAAAAAATAAAATCATAGGCCTTGAGATATCAAGAGGTATCTTGAATATTCTAATCATTTTATGAACGTGTAGTTTTGCTTTTCTCTGTGTGAGCAACATTAGGCCCCCTGGCAGTTAAGTAATTGAGTCTATCACATCAGTGTAATCATGGTCTGCTTAGCTGGAGAGTTGTGTGTTTGCTGGTTTGTTTTTTTAAAGATAGGTTCCTGTGCTGTGTTGCCATGCTGAACTAAGCCAAACTGTGCCTTTAGTGATTTGCCCTCTTTTAGTGAGCACTTTTTACAACACAAGTTTAGCAAATATGAAAGGTGCTTGACTGACAGCTCAAGATACGATTTGTGTGTTCTGGGTAATGCAGTGGAGCCATCAGGCTTCCTTGTTCATGGCTTTGTCACAGCTGATCTGATTCCCACTTTTTAATTCTGAGGGAACTTCCAAGCAATTATAAGTAAGTGAGTGATTGCCTATGAATAGATTAACGATTAACTTTGACTCCTTCAGATTCGAATGAAAAGAGAAACTCGGGTTCGACGGTTTCTTGAGAGGGAGGGGTTAATGTTTATGTTTGGAAATGCATCTGATGCAAAACCTGGAAGTGACAGAGTTTATAAACAAGTAATTGTGGAAATTCCCCACAGTGTTTTCAGAACATGCCCGGTGTTTGGACTGAGAGGAAATGAGTTCTGTGTGCTTGAGGCTTTGTTGCTGAAGGCCAGTGATAGGGATCACTGTTAAGGATACTTGGTGTGATGGGCAAGTTGGGAGAAGTCTAAGTTTGGTGAGTTGAAGTTAAAACAGCTAATTAGTTTGCCTGCCTAGAAGGATTGCATTATGAAGAATATCACTTATATCCTAATATTAAAAACCCCAGATTCCATGTCACAGCCTTGTCTGAAATACCTACAAGAAACACGTGATGTGCAGTTTTTTGACTTTTTGTGTTCTCCATCCATCAGAATTATATTTGCTATTGCATTGACTATTTTCGTGCCTTGGAATATCCAGCATTTAGTACTGTAATATTTCTGCCTTTGGTCAGCTAAGGAACTTTTGTTACTAGGTATTTCTACTTTGTTACTGATTGTTTGCAGAGGGGGCAAATGTATTTAAATCACAGAATGTATCACAAAACCTTGTGCGATAAAGTGGAGTAGCCTTTGCTTTTTGAGGTGTTCTTTTTGGTGAAATGTGTCTTTGTGTCTTCCCATTCGTTGTGCAGCTTGGTTAGAGCGGATACAAAAGTACATATTCATTTTCCCAGCACGGCTGAAATCTGTCCTTAGCAAAAAGGTGACAAAATCAGGGCTGAAGGCTGGAATTCCACAGAAAATGTTAAGATACTTGGTACTTTTTTGTGTGTTAAATTTGTACATGACAGTGTGAAGAGACTTCTGAGTTCACTACTTTTCTCTGGCTGTCCAACAGAATGTTCATCATTCTTCCATCTAATCTGGGATTGTTTGCCACTTGCTAGGGAAATGTGCTGCCAGGTCTGTCAGATCTAGAGAAGGTTGAGCACTTCAGGTGAAGGAAAAGAACTCAAGTCTTATTCTATGGTACAGACCTAAAATAGTTTTGTGCTTGGCAGACATGATCATCACACACGTGCTCCCATGTGTCAGTGTATGATTTCTGAAAAAATGGTTTTGTAGTTACAAGGCTTGAAGGAATCCTGCATCCCTGGCTCTTCATCAGCTGCTGAGCAGCAGGTGTAGCTGCACAAGGAGCAAATCCCTGACCATCTGGGTGTTACACCAAACACTCCTCCAGTTTGGCACTTCACCTCTGTTTCAATAGGTGGAAGCAGGATGTGATGGCTGAGAACTTGTTCTGTTGAAGACTGACCTAGAACTAAAAGATTTATGGAAGGGTTTGCTTTGACTTATCACATGCAGTAATGAGAGATATTATACAATGATTTTGAAGCTGATAGAAGTGGCTACAGCCATTCTTAAATGCTGCCAAGAGATCTGGCATGAGTAGGACAGAGTCAGCAGGAGGTACCAGCAAATAAGAACAAATGCTGAAGTTGCTGCAGGGGAGGCCTCTGTGTCTCAGGAGAATGTGCTGGAGTTGTTGCTTGACCCTGTTCACTCAGTGCTCATGGACTGTTGGTCTGCCCAGTTTCTTCAGGGTTATTTCTGCTTCACTCTTAGTGCATTTACCTTGTTTTCCAGTGTCCTTTATCTTCCAGTGGTCTAACTTACTTGAAAAATGTTTCTACTCAGTTTATCCAGTGACAA